TCGGCACACCCCTTTCGTGGCTCCATAGGGAGCTCCACCGAAGGCCCCAGTGCCCGCGCCCGCATGCGTCACCCACACCCATTTCGGCACACCCCTCACACGTTTCGTGGCTCCATAGGGAGCTCCACCGAAGGCCCCAGTGCCCGCGCCCGCATGCGTCACCCACACCCATTTCGGCACACCCCTCACACGTTTCGTGGCTCCATAGGGAGCTCCACCGAAGGCCCCAGTGCCCGCGGCCGCATGCGTCCCCACACCCATTTCGGCACACCCCTCACACGTTTCGTGGCTCCATAGGGAGCTCCACCGAAGGCCCCAGTGCCCGCGGCCGCATGCGTCCCACACCCATTTCGGCACACCCCTCACACGTTTCGTGGCTCCATAGGGAGCTCCACCGAAGGCCCCAGTGCCCGCGCCCGCATGCGTCACCCACACCCATTTCGGCACACCCCTCACACGCTTCGTGGCTCCATAGGGAGCTCCACCGAAGGCCCCAGTGCCCGCGCCCGCATGCGTCACCCACACCCATTTCGGCACACCCCTCACACGTTTCGTGGCTCCATAGGGAGCTCCACCGAAGGCCCCAGTGCCCGCGCCCGCATGCGTCACCCACACCCATTTCGGCACACCCCTCACACGTTTCGTGGCTCCATAGGGAGCTCCACCGAAGGCCCCAGTGCCCGCGCCCGCATGCGCCAGCCACACCCATTTCGGCACACCCCTCACACGTTTCGTGGCTCCATAGGGAGCTCCACCGAAGGCCCCAGTGCCCGCGCCCGCATGCGTCACCCACACCCATTTCGGCACACCCCTCACACGCTTCGTGGCTCCATAGGGAGCTCCACCGAAGGCCCCAGTGCCCGCGCCCGCATGCGTCAGCCACACCCATTTCGGCACACCCCTCACACGTTTCGTGGCCCATGGGGAGCTCCACCGAAGGCCCCAGTGCCCGCGCCCGCATGCGTCAACCACACCCATTTCGGCACACCCCTCACACGTTTCGTGGCCCCATAGGGAGCTCCACCAAAGGCCCCAGTGCCCGCGCCCGCATGCGTCAGCCACACCCATTTCGGCACACCCCTCAAACGTTTCGTGGTCCCATGGGGAGCTCCACCGAAGGCCCCAGTGCCCGCGCCCGCATGCGTCAGCCACACCCATTTCGGCACACCCCTCACACGCTTCGTGGCCCCATAGGGAGCTTTACCGAAGGCCCCAGTGCCCGCGCCCGCATGCGTCAGCCACACACCTTTCGGCATACCCCTCAAACGTTTCGTGGTCCCACAGGGAGCTCCACCGAAGGCCCCAGTGCCCGCGCCCGCATGCGTCAGCCACACCCATGTCGGCACACCCCTCACACGTTTCGTGGCCCCATAGAGGGCTCCACCGAAGGCCCCAGTGCTGCCGCCCGCATGCGTCCCGCACACCCATCCCCTTCACACGTTTCTTGGCCCTATAGGGAGCCCCACCGAAATTGGTAGTGTCAACTGCGGTATTCACACCTGCACATGGTTGGGTCCTTCGTCAGGCTGATTTCATCATATCATTCGTCCTCCTCACCAGAAGGCCAGGAGTGGGCCCTCTTGGGGGGGGGGGGGGGGGCTTGCAGGCATCTTAGAGGCCTCTCAAGTGCGTATTCGATGCTTTTGGGGAGCTCGTGTGTGCCTCCTGGGGGTCTCTTGGGGGCCTCGTGGGGCCTCGTGGGGGCCTCTTGGGGCCTCCTGGGGACCTCTTGGGGCCTCCTGGGGGCATGTGGAGCCGAACGCTTGGAATTCGAATATGGTGTTGCACCTCTGGGACCCCTCTGGGGCTCGGCCTGGGCTCTCTTGGCATGCTTTGGGGGTCTCTCGGGCCGTCTTGTGACCCTATTAGGGCCGTCGCGGGGACTTGGTGGCGTCTTGTGCAGTCTTGGGCGCTGTGAACGCCACAGAAGTGCATATGCAACACATGCGCTCCCCTGAAGGAATGGAGCGGATGTTGCCTCTGGGAGCCCTCGTGGGGGCATCCTGGGTGCCTCGTGGGGGCATCGTGGGGCCTCTTGGGGGCCTCTTGGAGCCTCCTAGGGACATCTTCGAGCCTCCTGGGAGCCTCTGGGGCCGAACGCTCGGAATTTGAATATGATGTTGCACCTCTGGGGCCCCTCTGGGGCTCTTCCTGGTGCGTTCTTGGCATGTGTTGGGCCTCTCGGGCCGTCTTGGGACCCTCTTGGGATCGTCTTGGGGCCCTCTTGGGAGCCTGTGGGGCAATATTGGGGGCCGCATGGGCCGTCTTGGACGCTGCGAAATCCAAAGATGTGTAAACGCAACAAATATACGTTCCCCCAAGGGACTGGAACAACTGTTGCCTGTTTGGGCCCTCCTGGTGGCCCCCTGGAGGCCGCTTGGGGGCCGCCTGGGGTGCTCTTGGGTGCCCCTTGGGGCCTCTTGGGGGCCTCTTGGGGCCTCCTGGGACCTCTTCGGGTCTCCTGGGAGCCTCGAGGGCCGAAAGCTCGGAATCTGAATCGGGTGTTGCACCTCTGAGGCCCTTCTGGGGCTCGTCCTGGGGCGTTCGTGGCCTGTCTGGGGGGCCTCTCGGGCCGTCTTGGCACCCTCTTGGGGTCGTCTTGGGGCCCTCTTGGGAACCTGTGGGGCATTATTGGTGGCCTCTTAGGCCGCCTTGGACGATGCGAACGCCAAAGAGGTGTGTGTGTGTGTATATATATAGGCGAAAATATACGTTCCCCCAAGGGAATGGAGCGAATGTTGCCTCTTGGGGCCCTCCTGGGGGGCCTCTGGGAGCGTCACAGGAAGCGTCTGGGATGCCTCTTGGGGTGTCTTGGGGCCATATTGTACGTCTCGGAGCGGCCTGTGCGTCTTGGAGCGACCCGTGGGCGTCGCGGGTCCCTCTTGGCGCGTCTTCGGGCTCTCTTGGCGCTTTCTGGTGGCCCTTTTGTGGGCACCTTGGGGCCACCACGGGCCTACACACACAGACACAGACACACAAGACACACAAACACACACACACACACATACGCACACACACGCACACGTACACGCACACACACACGCACGCACACACACACACACACACACACACACACACACACACGCACGCGCGCGCGCGCACGCACGCACGCACGCGCGCGCACGCACGCACGCACGCACGCACGCACGCACGCACGCACGCACGCACCCACACAACCACACAAACACAAAACCGCACACACGCACAACCACACAAACACACAACCACACATACAAACACACACACACAAACACACACACACACACACGAACACACAAACACAAACACACACACACACAAACACAAACAAACAAACACACAAACACATAAATACACAACACACCCAAACACACGAACACACGATCACACAAACACGCAAACACACACACACACAACCATACAACCACACTTCCACACAACCACACAACCACACGACATACATGTATTTACTGGGTTCCCAAGTGGACTCACGGAATGCATGTTCCCGAAGGAAATTCAACAACCAAGAACTTAGCAGATCGTCTCGTTGCGTGCCTCGCTCTATGCTGGCAGCAATTATTAGTTACATTGCAGTCGAGCTTATACGATACGCTTGCTAGAGCAGGTTTGTTCAGATGGCCTGCAGTCGTATGATCTTACTACACCTCACCACGCGCCTTCCACTCTCCCTCCCCCTCACCCTCCGCCCCTTCCAATCGCCCTGCGCCCCTCGACTACGTACTTGTCCTCGGCAAAACGACGGTGGATTATCTCGCAACAGCGGGTGCAGAGGACGCCTACTTGTCCGAGAACACGCGCGCACGAGTGCATGAAGCTGAACACATAGTCTGTGCAATGCGCACTCGGAGCACTCTTGAGGCAAGCCGTGATCAGGGAAGTCTCTCATGAGGGTGGCAAGCGCGGACGTCGCAAGTAGATTTCAGAGGTTGTCAAGACTCCAGTGGCCAGCGTGTGCGCCAGCGGTGCGCCAAGGCACCGTCTCAAAGAAAACATAAGGAGCTGTTCAAATTGCCAAGGCTCTACTTCCTTAGCTCGTAAAAGCGGGTGGCTGAGCACAAGTTGTGTTCCATTCATTGGCGTGGACGGTCAAATTTGCAAGCTCCCCCGAGACGCAGGGTGCACATCTCGCGGGCGGGGGGTCGCTAACGAATCGCATAGTTAAATATATAACAAGATTAGGAGGCTTTGGTTGTGTTCGTCATGTGGGCGTGTTGCTGCCACGCAGCTAGAAAAGCTGAGCAGTAATGCGCCAGAGCAGCCACAGGCAATCGTAAGGACTGCGTTGACCGAATCGCCTACGGTCGTTGGCCTAAAATTCGGATCAAAGCCCAACTGGCCAACAAGAAACACTGAATTGTTTAAGCTGATTCATTCCGTCTTGTGACCAACACTATCGCCATACTTGCAACTCCGACGGGATTGCAGGTTTTGCGAATGATTTTCCGGGAGAACCCATACCAAATATTCCGAGAAAGAGGGGTTACGGAGTTGCTCCGTAACCCCTCTGCGTCGCCTGTTCTCTTTTCAAAGAATCGGCGCGAACTGCGTGGAGCTACGAAAAGCACCATAAACCAAACACATTTACATAAGCATGAGATAATCCGCGGGGGGGGACTCCGAACGTTCACACAGACGTGAAAATAGTCCGTCCCTCCTGAAATTCCTCCCCCTCCTCCTCCTCCTCCTCATCATCACCCTCATCCTTCATCTCCACTCCTCAACGCTCCTTTCTCCCTATGCCTCGTCAGTTCTCCTTCGTATTCCTCCATGCACCCTGCTCCCTGCTCCAACTCATCCCATCCACTCCCCGCCTCTCCTGAGATTCGACGCTGCGAACCAGACGTGCAACATCGCGAAACGTCACAACTGGGGCCCCAGACCCCGTCGTTCTGCTGCATCGTCCAAGCAAGCTAAATATGTGGGCAACTCCCGGTGCCGAAACTGGGCGAAAACGCCCAGGATCGAGCAGGTTCCCGAGCAGAAGGGGGGGAGGGGGGGGC